TTTTTAAATTGACAACTATGTTGTCGACTAAGAAATAATTATTTCTGCGAATTTAAATTAAACATATTTTATGTGTATTATATATAATGTAATATAATATATTGTATATGATTTGATAAGCGAATTTTAAATTATGGTTTTATATTTAATATTGAATAATAATAATAATAATAATAATATTAATAATAACAGATGGTAAGAAAAGTAAGAATACATTTACTATGTTTAATACTTAATAAGTTTAGAATTTATATATATATGATAGAATATTAATTTTCATTATGTTTTATTAACCCTTTGAGATATTGTCACCCTTCGACTACATCAATGAATATGAAATTTTTTGCATTTTGAAATAAGTTGTCTGTCAAATTTCTTCTTTTATTTTTAAATTTGTGCCAAACTGAGAAATGTTTGTGGTGTACAACAACAGTGATTTTACTTTAAGCTTTATTTATGAATGTCAGTTACTATATTGTTTCAGCGATGCCAAAACCACAAATGTGGCATATTTATGAGTATGGCATAAAGGAAAATCATTTAGTGAGTGAAAGTATGATGAAAAAATAATTCTCATTACAAGTGATCTGTTGTTTTTATAATTGATTACAACTATGATAGTTTAGTTTTTTAATATATTCATTGAATTGTTTTTTTCTTTTATCGATATTGCAACAATCTCATTTCCTTGTATAACAAATAACTAAATAAGGAAGGGATAACCAAAAATTATTTTATAATTTCACATTAAATATAATATAAAAGTAAAATTATCTCATTGCAGTTTATATGCAACTATGAATTATTTCAATCGGTTAAATCATATATTCAAGGAAAACAATGTGTTTTTACTTTATAGTAATTTTATGCATTAATGTTTGTTTTCATACAAAGTTTTTATATTAGCTACAAAATACTTTTGTAATATGTTCTATATTTGTGTTTTGTCTGTGTAGTTATAAACGTATCGATGTCATGTGCACGTTATTAAACATGTGCCTGCCATTTGAAGTTCGATACCTTGGCACTTGTGTCGAGGATATTGGCAAGCGGGATTACAATGACCTCCGCGATACGGAACATCATGCGAATAGTGCCTCCGATCTTGCTGAGCTGACAACGTTAGGAGTAGCAGATAAACGCACAAGACGGAAACTTGCTCTCTACATGGCATTATTACATTCTTGTAATTATGCATGTGCTGTGATCTTATACAAGAACCTGTCAAATTTTGACTATCAAGAGATCTCTAACCTACTAAACGGGACCACCTTCACACCGGATGACCAACCGCTGGAGGAACTGCTCTTACTGTATACAATGGCTTTAAATCATCCAGCATTTACATATGAGCAGAAAAGTATCTTTGGCAACATTTATATAAAACTTCAAGAGGAGGAATCTCGTTTGAATCTTTCTAAATCAAATTCATCATACAAACAGGCACAAGTATATATAAATTTTTATATAAATATATTTCTTATACACACGATAATTCTTAAATTAAAAATTTATGTAAGTTGTACCTATGTTAACAAATATTAATTTTTCGTTTACTTTGTTAACGTATCTCTTTTATAACAGGGGTGTTCGCCATGTATGAGTACAAATGAAAGATTAATGGACAATGAAGTGCAAGGTAGTTGCTTGATGGCACCTCCTCCAATGCAAACTTATCATGGTAATTTATACCATAGTATATGTTCATAATGTATAAATTACTAACAATATAACAATAATAACTTACTATACATTAAAAAAGGCAGCAGTGACCTCTATATACACATATTATGCGCATGTATTATTAATATTTACTAATATATCTTGTTTTATTATTTGTAGGAGATATTGCAATGAGAAATAATACCATGGTAACTGGAGTCCCCCCTGGTCTATCCATGCCTCCACCTGGATTGTGTTTACCAACACCAGAACAAATGCCAATTAGATCGGGTGGTGGAGCACAATATCTTCATCTTGGCTTTTCATCGATAAATCATATGCCACCATGGACAGGTCAGGTTATGATGGGGAATCAAGTGATGTATCATACTGGCGACATGTTGGCTTATCCACCTTCCCCCTTAGTCAGCCGTCAATCGTCGCCATCCCAGTCTCGATCTCCTAGTCGCAGTAATTCCCCAATGGGTCGCAGGAATAATACAATGCCACGGACCTCTTCGCAAGTGACTCAGTCTACTTCAAACACCTTAACGTCAACGAGTGCCTCTAACAGTCAGACAAGCATCTCCAGTTCAAATGCCAATTCCCTCCCGCCACTTCCTGCACTTGGTACTAGCAGGAGTCATCCTAGTCAACCTCCATTGCTGCCATCACGTTCTGTTCCCTTGCCAATTAGTAGTTCTACCACTTTCTCAAGGCATAATACCATAGAAAATGCCTCTTCTACCTTAATACCGGCAGCACCACAATCTAAACAGCCACCACCACCACCACGATTGAGGTCTTCAACTTCTGGTGACACATTACGAGAAACACTAGGAAAAGAAATGCCAAACTCCAAAGGCAACTTGCAGAATTATTCTCTTGACGAGGTGAGCTTGAAGATTGCTCAAGAATATTTCAAAATGCTGTTTATTTTAAATTATTTTTATTTTTAGATTAAATTTGACTTAAAAAAATTGTATTCATTATTTTTCGTATAAATTAAAAACTCGAGTAAAATATAATATTGTGTAATGTATTATAAAAGTAATTATGTTATTTACGAAATGTTGAGTACAGATTCGAAGGATGAGCGATGAAGATTTGAGGGAAATAGGATTAACAACAAATGCAGTGGGACAATTACGAAGTATAGTGAAGAGTCAAACTACTAATGGTTTAAATCAAATTGCTAGTGACAAAAAATTGGACAGTACTAGCAATGCGACACATGCAGCAGTAGATTCAATAGAAAATGAGGTAATTTTAAAAAGTGTTTTATATCAATGCACATGTACTTTAATTCCATTCAGATATTATACGGATAACGTTTGAGCTAATAATTTTTCAGGTTATGCCAGAGATGATGAATGATAATGGAAATCAAAGTAGTAAGTCTATACCGTTACAGGAACAGCATCCAGCGATGCATCATCATCATAATCATGCAGCTACTCCTAACTTACGGCGATATCCTACTATGCCACCGTTAGAACCCGCGCAAATACAAATGTATCCTGCACCACCACCGATGTATGCTGCACAAAACGCACCGTGTTACGCCTGTCTTACATTACCTGTTGCTGGAGTACAGAATCGATACTCAAGGTAAGAAAAAGACAAAGAGAACAATACATATTAACAATGGTATAACGAGTCAAGCTAATATAAATTTCAAATATTTAGGTGCAATGCGCAACATGTGTATTGTTTGACGCAGTTACAAGCCTTAAACTTAGATCCTGAGAGCAGTAGGCATTGTTCGCAGAGTAGTAGTTCTGACAGTACTGGTAGTAGGTCTCCGCCAGAAACTCCTCCAGCAGCACCGTGGGTGAGCGGAAGCGAGAGCAATGCACCATCAGTTACAGATCACCTTAGCTCTGCACCAGTACATTCTACCAGTGCAGTATCACATCCAGCACCTCAACAACCTATACAATCGGGCCCGGAAAGGCAACGTACTAGAAGAAATCAGGCACATGTGATGCGTCACAAAAATCAAATGGTGAACGGCGGTGGACCACCGAACTTATCACAATGCGTTTCCTTTCCCGCACCACCATCACATTCGCAGGTCACGTATCTGCCGCACGGTCATTTCTCCACTTTGAGACCGAGTAGTGGTATTTACTCTAATTTCTCACATGGACCGTATGCAAGGCCAGCTTATCCGACCACGTATCAACCAAACGGTGAAATGATGTACCAGTATCCTGGACATCCACCTTCAGGGGGAACGCCCCCACCGCCACCAAATGCTGCCGCAACACCTGTACAGGCACCGTATATACCACCTACTCCAGTTGTTACATACGCACCAGCTGCCGTCCCACCAACGAAAATCTCGTGTTATAACTGTGGCAGTAGTAATCACCTCGCAGTTGATTGTAAAGATCAAACAATGGAGGACATTACCAAAAAAGGTTAGTTTTAGATATTTTATTTTTACATTTCCTGTTGACATTTGTTTTCTTATATTTTTTACTTAAAGAATATTATTTATATTGATTTCATTATATCTAAGATTATTGTCCACAGAATACCTATTTGCTATAAGCAATTTTCATTTAATGTTCGAAACGATTTTTTTTAATCGCATTTACTGTATACGAAAGATAACTTGTTTACACGTTTCTATTCAATTATATACAGGACTTTTGACAATGATTTTTTAATAATTCCGCTGTTAGTATATTCGGTGCAGATGCATGAAAAGTTTTAATCTGTTTTACAGAAATTTTTATTTTTCAAAAACTAGATGATCACATAAAATTTGTTTAAATGAGTTCATATGCTTTTATTCTTATAGTACTATGAGAAATATGAAGACAAGAGACCACATTTTGTTCATGTAATATTAATAACTTAATCGAGTACCACTCTGAACGTGTGTATTAAGAAATTCTAGAAATATTTAATGAAAGAATAGTAATGTGTACAATATGAACACGATCAAGTCTGTAACCATTGTTTATATGAGGTAATGGAAATTCTGATAGACATTGAATTTGTCTTCACTATTATTAAAATGTTAAAAAAAAGAAATTGCAAACGAAAACATATTTTCGATCGTATAATATTATATTATAGGGTTTAAAAACTTATCTGGTGTTACTTTGAACGCGTTTGGTATCAAATCCTTACATAATCACGATCGTGTTATATATTGAAAGGATTGTATGACAGTAAATCAGTGGAACTGTTTTTTCCACATTTCTTTTCTTTATTCATATACAACAAAGCATACTTTCAATTTCAGCTCAGTACCGTCTAGACTACAGCATAATGAAACAACCTGGAGAGTGCCCGAGTTCCGATAAGTGATCCCCTGCTACAGACCACTCAGCAATTTACCACCATCGTCAATACCATAATTACTGTTACTATCACTATCATTATCATTCCCATTGCCACTATTACCATGACCCCGCCACAGTAATACAACCCAAGGGCTGTTCAAAAGATGACTACTATCGCTCCTTGTGCAAGTTTTCGGTGATTTTTGTAGACATCCCTTACATTCAGGACGACGATTTTTTAACAGAGGACATTTCGCGATTCACGGTACCAGGTATACTTTTTACAAGTTCTTATTTATGATAGAAATTATTCTTAACTATGATTGTAAAAAGATGTGTAGTCGTCGTGTACAAAGGGGAAAGATAACTAAAGGAAGCATAACGCAGCATCCGATGTTATTATCTATGTTTTTAGAATACACTTTGAAAGATTTGTGTTAGGTATTGACTCGCGTCTTTCCAACAATACCTATTGGGCTACTTACCCCCTCTCCCACCCCCACCCATCTCTCTCCCTGTTTCTCTAGTACATAGCCATAAACGAAACGCAAAGAAAAAAAACTACGCATTGTGCTCTGATTAGGTGAAACTATCACGTTTGACTATATTTATCATTGATACTTTTACTTCTACTAGTATGTCTACTATCACTATTACTACTATTACTCTTAAACTATTACTATTACTTCTATTATCGCTACTGCGCCACGACGTTTTTATGTGTATATATTTTCTCAATTCTTATGTACGCAATGTTTGAACGAATGTAACTAAAAAAAAAGAATAGCGAGGATGAGATAAATGAAAAAAAGGGTTAGAAAGTATGAATGATTAGTTGAAAGTAAGGGAGGGAGTGAAAGAGAGAAAGAAAGAAAGAGAAAGAGAGAGAGAGAAAGATGTAAATAGATTGAGAGAAAGAAAGAAAGGATGAGAGAACAACAAACCATAAGTGTTCGATCATTTAGCTGCCGTTGCGCTCCTGTGTGTATAAAACTACAAATATACGCCGCTCACCACTCATTTATTAACTTACGGATAGTTAGCTAAGTAACAAGTAACTCATTCTATTTATACAAAATAGTCATGCAATCACGTGCAACTTAAGCAATTTTATACGACTTTTATTGATCGCCCATCTTTTTTAAATGTAAGCTAATGTGTTAAATGCGTTTAGAACCTTGTTAGTAATTAATGGAGAATAAGAGGAAAAAACGGAAAAAAGGAAGGGAAGGAAAATAACAATTCGAATATGTGCTAGTGGTTAGGTGTAAGTGGAGTGGCAATCTACGTTGTACTCGCCGCGTCAACAAATTGCTGCTGCATTTAAGCCGACTTGAAATGACAAGAATGTGACATCTTTAGTGTGTGCTAATCAAACTGTATATTAGAGTGAATAATTTGGCAAAATTTTCGACTAGCCCCGATATCTACGATGGTTTATGCTGTTTAATCATAAGGTTCTCGTAATATGCACCTGATCTATGTCACGTAGATCTTAGATACCTAATTAGTATGGAATGAAAAGCTATACAAAATGATTGAGAATGAATATGTGTGACTTCGAGTACGTATGCATTTAAAGAAACTTCCCTTCAATAGTTTCCTGCTACAAAAAAAGTTTCCGAAGTGTTTCTTTCGGTTGGTAATGGAATCGTTTTCATTTCGGCAGCTAGTTAATAGCCACAAAACAGAATTTTCGGATAAGATAATACGATTTGAGTCAATGATCGGGGCCGAAAGTTTGATTTCAAGCAGTCAATGAAAGTCGGATGCTCATGATGTTTCTATTATATTCGATTGATTTTTTAAAATATTTCTTCTGGAAAAGTGTGCTATGATAACGTTAGTTGTTATAACGTGGAAAGTTTTTTCTAGACAAAAAGAGGCAGAAAATTCATTAATTAATTTACCTATAAAATTTTCATATGTATGTTACACAAACTCTGTTTATTTTTTCTAAGAATCTTGATAACACATTTACTGGAAGCTGGTTCGGTCTTTAGGTGATCTTTAGGGAAAGTGCCATTTTTTTCTTCTTTTTTTTCGTGTAAATATCTAGCATCTTTATGTCGGTCTATTAAACGCAAAGGTTGACATTTATTTTGTTACCATTAGTAAATAAAGGTTTCTTTAAATCTATCTAAGAAAAGTTTCGAAAAGTTTGGCTGTGACCGATGAGAAATTATTGAAGCTCTAAATAATAACATCTATTCAACTTTGAACATAACAAAAAAAAAGTAAAGTTTCTTCATATCTTTTAAGTGCTCAGTCCTCAAATGTAGCGTCCATGGGAAACGACAGAGTAACTCTTAAGCAGAATTTAAACGAAAAAGTCTCGTTTCTATTGTGTCATAGATGTAAATGTGTTGCTTGACAAGAGCAAAAGAATAACGCCAAGCTTTCATAAATTTCCTCATTTCTTTCTATTTCGACTTACAACACAAAAACTGTCCAGTATAGAAGCCTGTCTTAATTCAAGGGAAAAAGAGAACAAAGAAATTATCGATTCGCGAACAAAGTCTAAATTTGTGGGACAAACTTTAAAAAAATGTAATTGAATGGAATTCATGTTTCCAGATAAATTTAATTCTCGATATGAAAAAATGTTAATCTGTAAATCGTTATCGCATATATCGGCAATTTTGCAGGCAATTAAATGAAATGGTAATACAGCAAATTTTCGAGCAGTAACAAATTATTGTTGACCAAGCGATTATACCTTGATGTTATAGTCATGGGTAGTCGTGTTATCGAAAGCAATAGTAATTCTTAAAAAGGCGCCACTTTATTGCTGTTTGCTAACTGTTGACGTTGCAATAGTTAAGAAGCGCTTTTCGCTATATAGTATCATTGGCAATAAGATGAGCGCGACTTTTCTTGTCTTAACTGTTAAGCAATATTTCTTAGAGTAACATCAGCATAGATCCTTTCAGAGGAGTATGATTGTATAGTATTAATGTTGTAAGTAACATTAAAGGAAGTTCTGCACTTTCGTTGCTGACCAGCGATTGTATATAAAAGGGATATCGCCGCTTTAGTGATGTCATGCCTAATGACACGATACGTAGTGCGAATATTAATTTGACTGAAACAATTCTGTTGGAAGGAAGTTTAACGAATTACTGTTATCATTGTATCAATTACAGTTAGTTCACAACATTTGATTGATTTTAGTACGCTTATCCAAGCCAATTCGATATTCTCACTTTATGTTCTACATCCGAAAATTATTCTCTTTCCAAATTTTGCGTTCACATGACACTTCTTTTTTAAGTATAGTCAATTGCACGTTCTAATTGCCATTGAAAGAAATATTGAGAAATATAAGTTGTCCTCGCACATGGGCTAAACCACATTTTTAAATTGTCATAAGCTAAACCGAAATTTCATTAGGTAAAATTAAATGGTGTCATATGTTATCTCTGCGTGTTTAAACGGAATTATATATTTGTACATTTACGAATTTGCAAACAATATTAACCACTTAATCTACGATCTATGTCATAACTGCACCACCCAGAATTACTTTGTTATTAATAATTTACTAGAAACAAAGGGGAACTTCACATTTTTTTATATTCACTTTTACTTTAAAGTGTAATAGTTGATAACAGAAATATAAAATTTGATTTGGACTCAGATGAATCTCAATTCTCTTGAGTCCAAATAAAATTTTATATTTCTGTTGTCAACTATTTTACTTAGAAAGTTGTAATAGAAAGATTTCAAATTGAAATTAAATAAATAAATCTCAGTTCTCTTACTTAATTTCAATTTGAGTCTTTCTCGCGAGTTTGAAACGATATTGTATGGCAAGGGGTTAAGATAACTGTAGCGAGGGTTGATTTGTTTCAAAGATATTCCAATTTCAACAGTTTACATGTACTTCAACGTTTCTCCTATATCTAGATAAAACGTACCAATACAATATTGAAGCTTAAATATATTTATAACTACTTCATTTTTTACGCAAGTACCTTAATAACTTCTCATAAAGGTAAAAGGAAGATGCATAAATTGGCATGAAAAAATTTGCACGAAAAATATATAATTCCGTTTAAATGAGTAGAGATGAAATCTTTGGACCGCCTCCACATTAGGAGCAGATACATTAATCAGGCGATGCATTACTTAAGACTGTTTAATTTCTGCCTAATGAAATTTTTGTCTGGTCTCTGAGGTTTTGAAAATGCGATTTCGCTGATTTGCGCGTGACATCTTGCGTAAAATTCTTTTATACTACAACAGAAATTATAAAACTATCTCTCAGTTATTTTCATCGGCTGATGCATCGCGAAAGTGCTGCGCGAAATTAAAACTCCTTTGTTGAACGACAACTATGCGCAATTAAAAGCTAGCAAAAGATGATTCTAAACGAGGCCGATAAGGGACTCGTGCTAGATGCAGTCGATACGTTGCATTGTTGTAAGGTTCGGGGATAAAAGTTCAAATTCTCTTGATCAAATCAGTATTATACCTAAACGAATCAAAAAGTCAAAGAACCATATCACTTGAACGGGAAACGTAGGAAAGAACCGTGAGAGATTAATAGTAGTAATAATTGTAATGAAATGATAATACTGATATTAATTATAGTAATAATAGTAATGGTAATATTTTATATTCGTTGCAAAATAGAGATGTAAAATTTCTGGAAAGATTGGATCATCGAATAAGTTGTTTCTCATTTTCTCGGTGAAGATCTCGACGATCAATTCAAAAACAGGAACGAAAAAAAAATGAAAAAAAAAGAAAAGATGAATTCGGATGCTATCCGTAGACGCATCTTAACGTGCAAACTTTAAGTTCGGTTTTCATTTGTTATCTCACGATTGGATTTCAGTTTCAGCAACGCGATCGTTTTATGCCGCTAATTTCTATTAACACCAGCTATCCATCACTCGTCAAACGTTTTTATTCTCGCTGTCGATCAGTACCGATGATAAATCCCGACCGTTCATTTTTCTTCTCCCCGTGACACTGTTGAGAAACGAAATTCACGTAAACATAATAATAAATTCTAAAGTACAAGTAATTAACTGTCGTTTAATTATAAAGATTGAAATACTTTAAGAGCTCAATTATTTTTGGTATACATTCGTGAACGATACGACCTACCACTTATATTGTATCGGCTAGGGTGTTCGTAACGGGACTTGACATTGCGTTCGAACGCGATAACTTTCTCGATAGTTTACATCTCTAGCGTTTGAGAAGGGCGATGTGGCGGTTCTCGCGCGAGAAAAAGAACGAGAAGACAAAAGTGTAACGAACGAAATTACGAAGACGAAGAGAGAGAGAGAGAGGGTGACGCCAGAGAAATATGTAGTAGTTTCTTAACGGAGGGCTAGAGCCACGGTGTATCTGTTTTTCCTTTTGTTTTCCGAACGTTTTGTGGACATACAGGGGTGTAATTGAGCAGCGTGCTAGGATTGTACAGAACACCAGTATAAAACCAGCGGATAGAAAACGAGAGAAAGAAAACGATATATGTTCTAAACGAAAACACGCATATGAAACGAGACACCGATCTGCGGAACGTAAAACGAATACACGTACACATACACACGCGCATACACATACG